AGGGAAAGATGTCTTTCACATTAAGGTAATCAAATCCATTGCTCTTGGGGTTTTGGGGGGTAGACTTACCAAATCCACAAAGAAAACTCTCCTAGAACTAATGGAATTAGATTACCTTTGAATTCTCTCTCACCCCTACTTCTAAGAGTCACTAATTCCTTTCTTTGCTCTTTTGGTGTTTGCAAAGGGGTTCACTAAAGCCTGAATCGATACAATTATTGGCTCAGATCGTGAGAGGTCTATGCCGGATGGCTATGGGTTTCTAAAATCCCATTTGCTTCTGGTAGTTTTCCTAGTTTCCCTATAGGGTTTGAGGATCAGCAATTTGAAAGGGCTACAAACTTGTGAAACAGTTTATTCACGGGGGCAGAATGTTCATCAGTGTGACCCAGGACTAAATACATACATTATAGGCATTTCTATTCTGCACAATTTGCCACACAGCACTAGCTTCTGGGGGTGGGTTGGGGGGAGACAATGGCTTATAAAATGCTTTTGAATGCCTAAAAAAGAAGGAGAGGTCACGCTACGACTCCCGACTCCTCTGCTTTCTTTTTTGGAAAGAACCTTCTTAGTTACTTTAGCTGAGCTCTGCTGAGAGTAAGCAAAGTGGAAAAATCAGAAAATTACTCTTTTTTTTTATATGTTTCTGGGGGCAAAAGAGAGAGTGGGAGAAAATAAATGGAAAACAAGTGACAGTGAGATTATGTGAAAGAGCAAATATGCAAGTGGATGAAGACAGCTGAGGAATAATGCAAGAGGTATGAAAAAAAGCAGCAAGAAAAGAGCCATGATGATAAACTTAAAGGCAACTGCAGAGCAGAAAGAACATCATAAATAATCATATTTTCAAATAAGGCTAACATATCAGTTTCTGTGACCTGGATAGAGCACAAACCTCCCATGATATTTCCTTAGCATTTTGATGCACACAAAATGCAATTTTCAGCTCAGGCATTTTATTCTTCAATGTAAACAAGCTTTGGGTCTTTAAAATACATATCCTAAAAGTGTTTTCATACATAATACATATATCATAAAAATCTGACTTGTAAACTACTGAGTCCATGTCCCCCCAAGTATTCATCCTGAAGACTCACCACGTATAGATAGTACCTTATGGTAGAAATTGACATGCTACAGCATGAAATGTCTGTTACCAAAGGTAAATAGGATTTTTTGAAGCACAGGACAAAGGAACATCATAGCCAATTTTGCCCAGACTCTAGGAAGGAAGTGTTACGAGGTACAACTATATTGTTAATTAGTTTCAAATGCTTTGGTGTTCCTTTAAATCTTGCTAATTAAGAGAAATCAAGAGTGGAAAATAGCCCCTTTCTTATCTTCAAGGAATAGAGATGAAAGAAAAACAGAAAATGAAACCTCTTTTCTTGTTCTGCTCTTTAAAACAGAGCCCCAAGAAAATCTGCTAGTGCTCACAGGAGAAAGCCCCAAGTATTTACAGAGGGGGAGGGGAAGGAGGCGGGCTGAGAAGCATAATTAGAAGCAAGTTTTCACATTTTATTAAATTCCTCCACCAACAAAATGCACTTAGAGGTATTTTAAGTTAAACCAGTACTTAAGGACTATGAAAAGCAAGATGATTGCATGTTTGTGGAAGAAGAAACGGCAATTAAGAAAACCAGGCCAATTTAAAATGCCATATAAATAAAGGCGACCAGAAGTTGATTTAAAGTTTGTCTTGTGTAATTTGTCTCTCCTTTGTCGTGGCACGCTCAGAGAAAGTGAACGCGGGGGACGGAGGGGGGCAGGGGAGGGGAGGGGTGGAGGGAGGGAGCCTCTCGGACCCTCCTCCTTCGTCTCGCTCTGTCTCTCTCCCTCTCCCACCCGTCCGCCCTGCCTCCGCTTTGCGGACTCCATCGGCTTCTGATTTGGAAGCACGCTGATTGGCTGGAAGCGATTCAACGCACGCGGGGCAAGAGAGCTTTGTCTGAGTTGAAGCGAAGTTCTACAGATCTTAGACTGGAGTCAGCAATCACGGGCGCTTGGTCTGCAGCCGAGCGGAGAAAAGGAGAAAGAATCGCTGGGTAAAGAGCCACTGCAGCCTCCGCCGGCGCCCCTGCGATAGATGGACGCCGACTGCACAAGGGGGAAAACGCGGACGTGACACTCCTTCGCCTGCCAGGAGGACAAACAGCCGCACAAATGCAAGGACTGGACTCCATGCCGATAATACCTGGAAGTCGTGACACGGTGTGTATAAACCAAAAGTTTGCGAGCTGTTAATTGCTGTGCTGTGTTATTAAGAGACGCTTTCAAGTTTCGAGTACCAAATGTAGCCTAGCTTTAAGTTGCCAAAGGAAGCTGAGGGAATTGCTTTGCTCTTTTAACTTGCTCTGTGAGAGGAATCTCGTGAAACTGACCGATGTACCAAATGAATGCTAAAATGCACTTTAGATTCGTTTTTGCACTCCTGGTGGTATCTTTCAACTCCGATGTACTGGGCAAGAATTTGAAATACAGGATTTATGAGGAGCAGAGGGTTGGATCGGTAATTGCAAGACTATCGGAGGATGTGGCTGATGCTTTAGTTAAGCTACCTAATCCTTCTACCGTTCGCTTCCGAGCCATGCAAAGGGGAAATTCTCCTCTACTCGTGGTCAACGAGGATAGCGGGGAAATCAGCATAGGGGCAAAAATTGACCGCGAACAACTATGCCAGAAAAACTTGAACTGTTCCATAGAGTTTGATGTGATCACCCTACCCACTGAGCATCTGCAGCTTTTCCATATCGAAGTTGAAGTGCTGGATATTAATGACAATTCTCCCCAGTTTTCAAGACCTCTCATACCAATTGAGATATCAGAGAGTGCAGCAGTTGGGACTCGTATCCCTCTGGACAGTGCATTTGATCCGGATGTTGGGGAAAATTCCCTCCACACGTACTCTCTCTCTGCCAATGATTTCTTTAATATCGAGGTTCAGACTAGGACGGATGGAGCGAAGTATGCAGAACTCATAGTGGTTAGAGAGCTGGATCGGGAGCTGAAGTCAAGCTATGAGCTTCAGCTCACCGCCTCGGACATGGGGGTGCCTCAGAGGTCTGGCTCATCCATACTAAAAATCAGCATTTCAGACTCTAATGACAACAGCCCTGCTTTTGAGCAGCAGTCTTATATAATACGGCTCTTAGAAAACTCCCCCATTGGCACTTTGCTGCTAGATCTGAATGCCACTGATCCAGATGAGGGCGCTAATGGGAAAATTGTCTATTCCTTCAGCAGTCATGTGTCTCCCAAAATTATAGAGACTTTTAAGATTGATTCAGAAAGAGGACATTTGACTCTTTTCAAGCAAGTAGATTATGAAATCACCAAATCCTATGAGATCGATGTTCAGGCTCAGGATTTGGGTCCAAATTCAATCCCAGCTCATTGCAAGATTATAATTAAGATTGTGGATGTTAACGACAATAAACCTGAAATTAACATAAACCTCATGTCCCCTGGAAAAGAAGAAATATCTTATATTTTTGAAGGGGATCCTATTGACACATTTGTTGCCTTGGTCAGGGTTCAGGACAAGGATTCTGGGCTGAATGGAGAAATAGTTTGTAGGCTTCACGGACATGGTCACTTTAAACTTCAGAAGACTTATGAAAACAATTATTTAATCTTGACAAATGCCACGCTGGATAGAGAAAAGAGGTCTGAATACAGTTTGACTGTAATCGCTGAGGACAAGGGGACACCCAGTCTCTCAACAGTAAAACATTTTACTGTTCAAATCAATGATGTAAATGACAATCCACCCCACTTCCAGAGAAGTCGATACGAATTTGCAATCTCAGAGAATAATTCGCCAGGGGCATACATCACCACCGTTACAGCCACAGATCCTGATCTTGGAGAAAATGGGCAGGTTACATATACCATTTTGGAGAGTTTTATCCTGGGAAGTTCCATAACTACATATGTAACCATTGACCCATCTAATGGCGCCATCTATGCCCTCAGAATCTTTGATCATGAGGAAGTGAGTCAGATCACTTTTGTGGTCGAAGCAAGAGATGGTGGAAGTCCAAAGCAACTCGTGAGCAATACCACAGTTGTGCTCACCATCATCGACGAAAATGACAACATCCCTGTGGTTACAGGACCGGCACTGCGCAATAATACCGCAGAAATCTCCATCCCCAAAGGGGCCGAAAGCGGCTTTCATGTCACAAGAATAAGGGCAATGGACAGAGACTCTGGTGTGAATGCTGAACTCAGCTGCTCCATAGTAGCAGGTAATGAGGAGAATATCTTTGTAATTGATCCACGGTCATGTGACATCCATACCAACGTCAGCATGGAATCTGTTCCCTAC